TTTGTTCATTAAGATCTAAAGATTTTCTGTATTGATACTCCTACAGCATGCTGGCTAGTGCCATGTCAGTGTGATGCATCATCAGAGTAACACTGCTCCAGTGATGCATGTGGTTTCTCTTGTATTTGAAACTAGCCTGAAGTGTTAGCTCTGTTGTAGTGTCTTTGATGTTTAGTACAAAGAGGCTATGTCTACACTACTTTGTTCATTAAGATCTAAAGATTTTCTGTATTGATACTCCTACAGCATGCTGGCTAGTGCCATGTCAGTGTGATGCATCATCAGAGTAACACTGCTCCAGTGATGCATGTGGTTTCTCTTGTATTTGAAACTAGCCTGAAGTGTTAGCTCTGTTGTAGTGTCTTTGATGTTTAGTACAAAGAGGCTATGTCTACACTACAGAGTTTTCGCGGAAAAATGGCTGTTTTTCCGCAAAAACTCGCCGAGTGTCCACACCTCAAGCGCATTTTTGTGCAAGACAATCGAAAGAACAGAGTGGTTTTTGTGAAATTGGTATTCTTCTTTCTATGAGGAAGAACGCATTTTTGCTAAAGAGTTCTTTTGCAAAAAGGCATGTGTGGATGGGGAACACGGATTTTTTGCACAGAAAGAGGAAAAAGCACAGGTGCCCTGCTGGCCATTCTGTGCATACCAATCAGTGCTTTCTTTCAAGAGAGCGTCCATGCAATATGGATGTTCTCTTTTGCAATAGTGTGTCGCTTTTTCGATGCACTTTTGCAGTGTGGATGCTCTCTTGCGTAAGAAGTTTTTGCGGAAGATCTCTTCTGACAAAAGCTTCTTGCACAAAAAGCCTGTAGTCTAGACGTAGCCATAGTGTGCCAGTCGAGGAAGCCCTTTATGGTGCTTTTAATAAAGAGCTTACAACAACCGCAGGAGTTGTACCTCAATGGTATGCTTCAACTATAGTATCAACTGAATCGACAACAGTGTCCTGCTAACATGAGACATTTATTTCCATAACAGGAGAATGTTAATCTGCCTTGTCATTCTCCAGTGGCTTTTCTTTTCTTACACTAAATGATGAATAAATACGGCAGTGGGAGAGTCCCAAATAATTCCTTTAATATATGTGGCAGCTGTGCATGGCAGCTGTGCACAGCACCATCACTGCAGTTTGATTGGCTCAGAGATTAGGCTTGATCTGTGTTTTAACCAGTCATAATAAACTAGTTGGTTCATAAAGGTAGGTCTCTTTTGAGAGTGTATTGTGCTTTTATGGATAAACTGGTGGCCACTTAGAATAAGTGTGAGTAATTTAGCGAATGTTGGTAAATAGTGGCCTTTGATGCAACTCTAAAAGAGTAATGGCTATTTCATTTAGTGCAGAGCTCTAAACCTCTACCCCAGTTAGCACACACAGTTGCAGCCCATCTCAGCTGCATGCTGAAGGCCAGTCTGCATAGCAGGGTCTGGTTCCCCGGTTGCCTTGTCCGATGGGGTACATGTTCCTTGCTGGCCCACACATTGGTATCTGGGCTGCCCTGCTGCAGGATGGCTGGCCAGCCCCTCAGAGTCGTGGGTCTGGGACTGTTAGCCCACCCCACAAGTTCGGGATGCCCAACTAGCCCATAGAGTTGGGGATCCAGGGCTACTGCAAAGCTCTGGACTCTGGGTTCTGTGGCTGCTATTGGGGCTGGTACTCCTGGCTGGTCCTGTGGGTTGAGGGATTTGGAGTTCTTGGTCAGCTTCAGGTGGGCCGGAGGCTCCTGACCAGCCCCTTGGGGTCTAAGTTGCTAGGTCCTAAGCTGCTGCCCAGCCTGGCAAGCTCCAGGACTCCTGCCTGGCCCCACATGGCAGGGATCTGGGGTAACCACGTGTGGGTATCCGGGGTTGCTATATGGTTGGGGTCTGGGGTAAGTGACTGGTGCTGCACAGCCTGAGTCCAGGGCAGCCATGTGGTGGGCAGCTGGGCAGTGGCCCCACATGGTGGGGGGTCTAGGGTGGGCAGCCCACCAGCCCCACTCCCCTTGCGGCTGGAGTCAGGGGCTTGGCTGCCGCTGCCCAGGTAGCACATTGATGTAGTATAATGAATGGTATAAAATGAGAGGAAGTAATTCCTTCCTTTTGGAAATATGATGGTGTCTAAGTAAGTAGACTCCTGTTTTGAGTGAAGGCAGTGGGAAACTTTGCTGTTGCCTTGCATGATAGTATGCTTGGGCCTAACTTTCTCATTAGAAAAAGAAGGAATAAATAGAAAATGGCATTTTCTCAGTTGGAGTAAAATACTTGCAATTAGTCTTAGCACTCTGCGATTCTGATCAATTTGTGTTCTTATATCCATCTATAGTAATGTAATGATACACTGCATGATACAGATGTCATGTTAGGTTGGGAAGGACTTTTGTCCTTGGTTAACTTTAGTCTTTAAGTGGATGTTGCTAAAATCAAATTAGCCCATGATGATAACCCTTGTGACTAACACTCATCTTATAGTGGCTGATGGACTCAATGTGGATTAAGTATAATAGGATACACCAGATGACTGCAGTAACTTAAAGCCAGAAGATACAGAGGATAGACATAGGATACTGTCTGGCATGAACACTTTCTGAAAGTCACTAGTTATTTTCTCAATATGGTATAAATATATTTGTAACTGTTGTGCATACAGGAGTAAAAACTTGCAATACTTTTTTAATAAAAATAAAACTGCCTTTTATAGTGATTAAGTTACATCTAAATAAAAAACTCAAGCACTAATTGCTAATCTAAAAATGATAACACTTGAGTCATAACATTGTGGGGCAGTAGGAATTAGTCCTTTTTATTTGGATGAAGAGGGGCTTTTGTGACAGCAGGAGACATTGGGTCTGAACCTTGCCCTCTGAAATGAGTGGGAGTTTTGTTGTTGACTTCAGCAACAGGAGACTTATTCTTCCAAAGATGTAAACAATGCAGACAAAGTCTTCTCAGATACAACTAAAACCTAAGAGTGAAAACAGTAGGGCTATGTCTACACTGCACCCGTTTTGCGCAAGAAATATGCAAATGAGGTGAAGCATGGAATATCACCATGCCTAATTTCCATAATTAACGAGGCTCCGTTTTTGCACAAAACCCCCCTGTTGCACAAGAGCCATTCTTCCTGAAAAAAATGCGGAAGAACGGCTCTTGCATAAGATGGGGGTGGGGGACTGCTCAAAAAGGAGGCAGGTAGACAGCTCCTTTTTGCGCAAAAGCCTCTTGAGGGGCTGCTCAAAAAGGAGGCGGGTAGACAGCCCCTTTTTGCGCAAAAGCCTCTTGCGCAAAAATGGAGCCTCATTAATTATGAAAGTGAGAAACAGCGATATTCCATGCTTCGCCTCATTTGCATATTTCTTGCGCAAAACAGGCACAGTGTAAACATAGCCTAGAAGAAAAAGAACTATTACTAGCAAACATGGCTCTAGCTTGCCAGTGCTAAGATGGCTGGCTGCTGCTTGGACAAAAAAAAACAATGACTGTTGAACAGATATAGGTATCCAATACCCATTTTTTGTGTCAGCAGGACAGGTCTGAGGAAGAGTCCATGTCATCCACTCAAAGCGCTGAGATAACATGTAAAGCTATGATGTTGAAATAAGCACTTCTCAAATGTAAATTAAAGAAACCAGTAGCAAAAGGGTGATGGCAGGAAGAGACAAAATATACATAATTGTTTTAGTGGACAGAGGTAGCAAAATGTTAAGGGGTAAGTTTTTGGACAAGAACTTTCCTTTTTTCTGGCACAATTGTGCTTGCAAAATCTAGGGCCACATTTTTGGGTGCACAGTTTACTTTGAGTGGAAGCACACATCATGTAGTTAAAAGATGTGATGATTCTACTTTTTGCCCCAAAGTACATTTGTGAGTGCACAAATATTGTTGTGAAAGCAAAGCCAGGTCTCAGCCCAGATAAATGGATACTTCTATGCCAACATTACAGTAAACTTCTTCCATTTCATTTCAGTGCCCATGCATATCTTTATTTACTTTTAATTCTTTTGTGTGACAGTATTAGTGTAGTTGGTAAATTGAGGTGTATTGGGTCACATTCCTAATTAAATATCTGAATTCTAGAAGAGATGCTGGACAAAGGAAATGTATATGCTTTCCATTTACTTACACTAAAATTTCAGTGACCCATATGTAAGATTAATTCCCCTGCAGAATGTAATCCTTCTGTGTGAGGGTCAGTGATTTATAAATCCCTGTACTTTGTAATTACCTTAATTAAATGTTTACATTATTAGCGCTGCTGGTACTGTTGTTAGGTGCTGAATTCATAGTACAGATAGAACCATTTTAACGTGAATACTGTAGTTTTATTTGTCAAATTGTCATTTTCTGAGCCTTTAAAAAAAGGAAAATTTAAATCTGAAAAGGTATCTGTTACTCTATTTTGCAACACGTGAGATGCTGTATGAAATTGGCTTGCAAGATAATATTCCAAGTACTGGTAATGGTCTCGCCTATATAAATT